ATATATAATCAAACTACTATGTTTATTACTTGGATCAGTTCTTTCTTTCTACGTAATCAAACTAGCCTACGTTTATTACTTGGATCATTCATTTCTCTCTTTATGTATATGTGAGGCAGCTTGGTGGAATCAGGCTCTCGTCAAAATAATCAAAGTGAAAAAACTTGCATTTTTCTACAGGTTTGTGAATTTTTATCAAATTTTTGTTTTTTGACTCAACACCTTTCTTGCCCATTTTAGAACTCATTTCTGTGTGGATTTTTCTGAAAAGCGTTGATTAAAGGCACAAAAATTTTAATTTTCAGTTACCACGGACTCTTAAGCTAAGGAAATAACTAATCTTTGGAGGCCATTTTCTCACTAATTTTGCCTCTGCAAACAGGTGACCCCCACCTCCTTCTTTCACAAATATCTCGACTTGTATTCAAGATAAACGGATAATTTTTTCATCCATATAAAGACAAGTGAACAAGCTTTAAGATGATACCAATAACTCTACATGCTCAAAAATTGACGAGAGCCTGATTCCACCACGCTGCCTCACATATATTTAATCAAACTTAATAAATTCGATACGAGTAAGCTTCGGCCGCCACCCAGGCAAAATTTGAAATTCTTAATTAAAGATTATTAGAATTTTTTACGATCCATTCGTCATTTCGCTGCTTTGAACTGCCTGCCTGTTTGTTTGTCTGTGTGTACATTTGTTTGTTGATTTGTCCTTATACTCGCAACTGAGTAAGTATGTATAGAATCTATGTGTAGAATCTATGTGAGTTTTGTTTTCGGCAAATGGAAGGGGGCAGGTGAGGTGGGGTGTTTTTGTGGTTTGTTTGGTTTGTTTGTCTTTTTGCTTGTTTTTATTAATTTTTTTTTGGGGGGGGGGGGTGTTGTGGTTTTCTTTTGTTGTTGTTTTTTTTTGGGGGGAGGGGGGTGTTTGGGGGAGGGAGTGGAATTCCTCTGATCATGTATATTTGATCTTTTTAACTTCAGAATCCCTTTCAACACAAAAAAACAGAATGGTTGTTGTTGGTTTTTTTACTTATAGAGCACAGCATTGCACAACCAATTTCACGGAAAAGTATCAGAGCCGAGCGCACTTTTGAAAAAAAACAACAACCTATAAATAAAATAATTTAAAAAATAGAGCCGCGCACTTTCTAACAATATTGTTACATATTGAACTACCAAACAGTTACAAGTTACGTCGCCTCTTTTGCTTTCTGTTTATAATGGTATGCTGAACTGTCACTAAAATAATTTATAAGTAAGGAGCAGACCGAGGAACCCATCATGCGCTAAAAATAATGCGACACCCTTGAAAATTTTTTTTAACCCCCCCAAAAACACACACACACACACACACACACACACACAAACAGTCGAACCTGCTCAAACAAACACCTGTTGGAGACAAACACCTGTACAAATGACCACTCCCTCCACCTTTGTCTTTTTTTTTCTTTTGGTAAATGTTTTACGACGCTCGCAACTGCATAAGGTCATATGAGCGCACGGGAAACATTAAACTTTTTCAGTTGGTAGGAAATTTTAAATTTTGCTCAGGTGGCGGCCGAAGCCTACTCTTATTGATTTTAGACCACCAAAGGATCTTTAACGAGCGCAACTTGCACACGAAACCTCAGAATGTTCGCCCTTGTCCGAGAACACAAGGTGTCAATCTTTCCTACCATAAGATCAGGGATGTGTCTGAAAGCGAAAGACAGCAGAAAAAATTTAAGGAGCCATGTAGTAGCAGAAGTAGAAATTCTGCAGAAAGAGTCAGGAGCCCAGACTCTTTCTGCAGCCTTTTTACTGCTACTCTCTTCCTATTGTAATGTCATAAGAGAACATTGACAAAAAGGACCACATTTCTAAGACAAACACTTCTCTCCACGACAATATGGGTGGTTGTCCCGTGCAGGTTCAAGAGTTTAAAGACAAAAGGCTATTTTCACGAGGGAAAGACAAAAATTTACACACAATTAGGCATATAAAATATTTATTGAATCAAACAGTACTCAAAAAAAGAAATGAATAGAAAGTGCACAAAAACTTACAGTGAATGCTTGTAAAATATAAACATAATCTCATAGGAAGCTTCTGAACTTAAGGAAGTGAGATTCGAAGCTTTTACAGAGTACATACATACGAATACATTCATACATGTACTTATTTTTGTGAAGATCAATAATTCTCTAGGGGCGATGTTAGACAAAAATCCATGAGCATACAAATGAGAAATGACATGTCTAAAAAGCTTGTTTGTTCTAGTCTTTAAGAAATCCAGTTCCCCACCTCAATCTGGCCACATGGACATACATTGTGGCAGACTGTTAGGGGCGCAAAACCGTCATTATTCAATATACATCCCCGACAAAGGACAAGTCTACATTTCTGTCGTATGCTGACAAAAAGCCTTTTTCTTATTCACAGCAGTATAGATAAATCAATGATTTTTGGCTTTCTTATAGTTTATAAAAATCTAAACTGTCTTGCACAGTACATCAACGGTTGATCTAACAACCTGAAGATAATGTCATTCCCTCTGCTCAACAGATACTATTTTCAAAAGGCGTTTTGTCGGCGAAGGGCAGGTTTGTATAGAGCTGGGAAAAATAAAGTTTATGTACACTTTTGACTAAAAGATGTGACAAAACTTTATTCCATTGTAAAGATAAGTCACTTTCGACTAGAAGTGAAGACGAACCGCTCTTATTCTCAAGGGCTTACTGTCAAGAGTAAAATTCATTTCAATTAGGGTCAGCAGTCTTTCAAGGGACGGATGTCAATTCTGTTCAATGCTCTGAAACAAGCCTTATCCCCAAACCCACACTGGTTGAAGACATTCTCAATAATTTGTGTTCATCGCTGTATAAAGCGCACTGGGCATGATGTAGAGCGTGGATAATATGCACTATAAAAATGCAGTTATCTTCATTATCGTTACCTGAATACATAATATAGCCAGATTTCAGACTGCAGACTCAGGACAGGTGAATTCTTTTACCATTATATTATTATTAAGTGGTCAATGCGGTAAATTATTTGTTTGTAGGAGTAAAGAGAAGCTCATTGACACAATTTATGGTAATTCACTCCTGGAAAAAGTAAGACAGACTGACAGAAGCAACAGAAGGTTAAAGTTAAAGTAAAGAAGTAAGACCTACCAGACGTGTCCTCCAAGCCAACACAACCACCCACAAAGCAGTTCAGTTTTAGTTTTTGCAAGTGTTTTACGGCACTTGAAGCACAATCAGATCATATACGTGCTGAAGATTAGAGGTGCTACAAGAGAGTAACAAAAACAAAAAAAGAATGAGGAGAGATACAAGGATGATAGGATGATTGATAGGATGGAAGTAAACCACACCAGAACACCTGCCAACCACCCACATGCACTTCAGACAAGGGTCAAACATATTCAAGGAGAATTTATTAAAGCTACTTTTCAAGTCGTCAACCTCTCGATACATTCAAACAAACACACTGACCTTATTTTTTTTGCTCCAAAATATTATTTTCTATTTCACACTTTGTGGTGCATCTTATAAAAGAGAAATAAAATTTGTAAGCAAACTACCTGTATGAAATTATTCAAATCAGCAAATAATTCACTACAAATTAAACAACACAGACTTGTTGGTGTTTGTATTATATGTGAGGCGTGCTGACAAAACGAGTTACTTCTCACAATCCACAAATGCAGATATTGGCCAAAAATCCGCACTAGGGTCAAATTTCCAGGTTCTCTATTGATGCAATATTCCTAAAGTACTAAATACCTGTTGTTATTTCATACGTACAAATTGTAAAAACTTAACCTATAAGCATGATGTATCTATTTCCATAGGGCTAAATTGTGAGAAGTAACTCATTTTGTCAACACGTTTCACATTATATTAATAGTAAAATGAAGCTAGAAGAATTCCAACATGTAGGCTCAACTTTACACATAGGGCTACCAGCAAAAATCATAAATGCTGAAAAAAAATCAAACATGCAAAGTAAAAACGTAAGGAACCAAAAAACAAGGAACTAAAATATTACGTTTGATTATCAGTATAGGGTTTTACGTCGCTCGCAACTGCATAAGGTCATATGAGCGCGCGGGACACACCTAATACTTTTTCGTTGGTAGGAAATTTTGAATTTTGCCCGGGTGGCGGCCGAAGCCTACTCTTATCGATTTTAGACCACCAAGGGATCTTTAACGTGCGCAACTTGCACACGGGCCCTCCGAGATTTTTCGCCCTTGTCAGAGAAGGCTAGGTGTAGATCTTTCCTACCAGAAGATCAGGGGTGTGGCAGAAAGACAGCAGTTAGAAGGAGCCAAGGAGTAGCAGTAGAAAGGCTGCAGAAAGAGTCAGGAGCCCAGAGGAGGTGGCAAAGGAGGTGAGGGGGTGGGGGCAGAAAGTGGAAATGAAAGCAGACAACAGAACATTGCTAGAGATCAGGAAAGGATGTGAAAGGAGACAATTTTAGAAAAGAAAATGTTTTGGTCGCTACCCGGAATCGAACCCGGGACCTTTGAATGAGAGGCCAACACCTTACCTCTAGGCCACGAGAGCCCCCAAATATTACGTTTGATTACAGTACGGTCTATAAATGTTAAAGGAATAGACATTCAAAACTAAACCATGACGAGCATAAAGTAGACCGTGGCACACATTTTTATTATGAACAAACCAGACAGTGACACATAAATACACAAACTACGTCTTGTTATGTAAGCACAAACAAGACTGTGACACACACAACTCAACAATACAACAGGGAATAAAATACATATCAGCAGCTGAAAAACATGTATCAAAACACAAGGATTAAAACTTTGATATACAATTGAGAAATTCAAGACAACGGAGATTTTGTTGCAAAAAAAACCCACAACACTTTCGAAACTAAGAAAAGAGCGAGAGAAAAAAGGAATTTCATTCACGGCACAAACAAAACCTAACAGAGCTGATACAACAATCTTATCCAAATCCCCATTTCAACAGTGTGAAGCAGAGACAGAGAGAAAAACACCCTTGATCCCTTTCCTTTTCCCCTGCTAAACAAAACATGAGCTCGAACCTACAAAAGAAACACCAGACAAACAAGTGAGACATGAATACCTGTGAAAAAAAACACAAAAAAACAAGTAAGTCCAGAAAAGTGTTCAAAGATTTTTTAGATGTTTTAGTGAGGTTTTCCGGCGCTCACAACTGCATAAGGTAATATGAGCATCAAGGGGCGGATGTCAACAGAGAAGTCCAAAAAGATATTTGAGAGAATTGTTATTTAATATTTCAAAGTGTAATATGTCTAAGTTACAACTACACTCAATTTTCTTCAGCTGAGGAGCATAAAAGTGAATCTTATATCATCTTATCAATACTTCCGGCATGATGTGCCTTTGTTGAATAGAGCACTACTTGCATGCAGCAAAACCCTCGAGGGCACGTTTCCATGAGTTAAAGATATTCACAAAGGAGCATAAAGGCGATGATAATAATAGTAATAGTAATAATAGTAGTATAAATACTAGTAATAATAAAATCGATAATAATAATTGCATTGATATAGAGCATATCCACACTCTAAAGACTGCTCTATACGCTTTGCAAATATAATTATCGCTGCAGACTCTAGAACACTCAGAAACATTCTTGGCTTCCCAGGAAGCATACAGGGCAAGCAACTGACTAAGCCCTCAAACACTAACAAACTCACAAGATCGTTCAGTCTATACTCGAGTACCCATTCCCACATAGGTTTTTAAATTTTAGTAGCCTACAGGTTTTACGGATCTCGCAACTGTATAAGGTCATATGAGCGCCACAAGATTAGAAGTGTTACAAGAGAGAGTAACAAACATTAAAAAGAAGAAGGGGAGATAAGGCCGATAGATGTTCGATAGTAAAGAAGAAGCAAACCAAACCAGAGCACCCGCCAACCGCTCACCCACATGGGTGAAAGAGGAAAAGAACACAACACCGGGCCCCTGATGGGGTGCAAACCCACAACCTTTCACTTGTGAGCCCTACAGGCCAACTACTCGACCATTGACAATGCCAAAATGTAGAGGAAAAGCCTTTACTTAATAATAAGTTGATACAGCACAAAGAACACAGCCTCTGTAGTAGCCCAAGATAAGAAAATTACATATTCTGACGGCAAGTTCAGGATAAGTGTTAAATACACAGCTGCTACCTAACGGAAGGAAGTACATAGTTTTCGCTGCCATTATAAGGAAAACAAAACAACAAAACAACAAAACATTTTAAAATTAAGCGTACGAACAAAGTCAATTAAAAACGATATTGTGCCAACAAACTGTAAATGAGTTTTCGAAGGAACAAACTACTCACTGAATCTTAAAAAATGAATATCCTGTTTGGTACCTTTCTCTTAGACAATTCTTTCTCTTTCGTCAACAAATGTGATCCTTACATGACATAAAACACATAAACAATGAACTATCGCCATGAGGCTTAAATGAAAAAATGGAGAAGTAATAAAAGAGAACTATTTCAGCTCAGGATTTGAAACTGACTAAAAATTGGCAACCAAAAAGAGGAATAATACAAAACAATGAAAAAAAAAGAGTATTTGTGAGAACCATTGAAAGTAACACAAAGCATTTTCTGAAATATGAAAGACAACATTAGCACTTTGTGGAAATGAATGAGGAGCAAAGTATTACACTGATTGAGAACCAGTTAATCATTATCTAGATATAAGCGTTATAGAAAATTTTCTAATTTTGTTATTTCATAGAGGTTCCTAAAAATGATCACAAACTTTCCAAACAATTTTTTATGTTTCTAACTTTTTTGTCTTAAGTCAGTGAAGATCTCATATATAATGCAAAAAGAAATTCATATTAAATCAGGGAAAATTTAACAGAGCAAATGGATTAAAGCTGTTAAATTTTTAAAAAGGCAACTAAATTTTGAAATCCCTGAATTTTTTAAATCGACCATATAATAATATATAACACAAAAAGAAAGTCACATTAAATCAGGGAAAATGTAACAGTGCAAAAGGTTTTCTCAGGCCACACAAAGAAATCACACTCACAAGGGAGAGTATGAAGCGTTTGTGAGTAGTTCAAAGGCACAAGTATGGGAAAAATGAAAGGCAAATCTTTATACATCAGACACAAAGAGAAGCTCGGAGGAGACGATTGTCACTTTGCTTCTTACAGGAGAGAGACATTATAGTTTGACAACAATGAACACATACAAACCAGTTGACAGACATAACTTTGTTTTCAAACAGTTGAGTATTTCACATTTCTCTACAGAGGCACAGATCTTGTAATTCCAAAACACATCCTCTTGACTTCTTAAGTAACGCATTCAAGACTATATAGATGAGATCAGTCAGGTCAAAGGAAAGTAATATAAAAGGAAAATCAACAAAGAGTGTATTTTTATTTTTAGCACCTCACTCAGTAATTTTTCAAAGATGTAGATGGAAATGTTCCAGTCACAAAACACAAATAGCTCTAACACATTTAAACACTAGTGACAGATATCTTGACATTCATCTTCCTTGGAAAAAGGATATTTGTTGAATAAAAAGAAACACATCAACACAATAATCGTCATTTAGTGCAAGGACATATTAAGATAGACAGAAAGGAACAACAAACGGGAAAGGAAAGGAAAGAAACAGCACCTTCTAGTGGCGCCCTCTAACCACCCCTGACCTGACAACGAATAAATATTGACAAGTTCAGTCTAATGGCCAGAAGACAAGAATCTAGCTCTAAAAAAATGCTGACGATCACAATGCAGAAATTATTTTCTACGACAACAGTACCAAAGCCACAAAGAAAAAAAAACTGTCAACAGGTAGTCAGAATTGCACGCTTTTTATGGTCACACCTAGAGATGAAGCTGACATCTATTGTTACACTATTTGGCTACAATACACTCAACACAGACATTAAATATACTGAACACTGAAAGTTCGACAAGTTAGAAAATTCTAGAGCAAATAATTCAACATTCATTTAACTTAGTAAAAAACATAAAATGTTATAAATGTTTATAAAAATCAGAGAAAAATCACATAAAAATAAAAATTCCTCGTAATATAGTTTACCCTGCACTGTAAGGTAAGCGTGTGACCATACAAATTGGCTAAAAACAATTTCAGTATGGTTCAATAGTAAAAAATAAATTGATGAATTTGATACGTAAAATCAATGTGATTAACTTTCATTTCACTTAACATCTGATCAATGGTCTCTGTAAATTGACTGAACTGAAAAATAAACAGTAAATAAAGAGATTATACAAGGAAAAGGAGTAGGCGGGGTGGGGGTTTGAAAAAATCGCTTTTAATGAATCATAAAAAAAAGCTTTTGTGCAAATATAAATATTTGTGGATTCTGAAATCCAAGTATTTTAAAAATAAAATAGCCACTGGACAGAATCCAAAATGGCTCTTATTTAATGACCCTGAACCAGAAAATCTCTTTTCTGTTAATAAAAAAACAGTGAGTTCCATCACCTGTTCCATCCCCTATTTGACAACAAAAATTTAACAAAAACAGAGACGCGTTTTACTAGAATGCTCTTAATCAAAGAACGGAATCATGAACAGAAACGAAAGACAGCTTGTAAAAAATGATTCCTTTATCTCGAGGAATACAATACCAAAGACATCAAGGAGGGGTAAAATATTCAAGAAATTACAGAAAACAGAAATGCATGCAAAAAGTTCTACTATAGTCTTCATCGTGCATTGAATCGGTGGGGTTTTAGAGACCTTCAACTGCTTGAACGAAATTATGGCACAATGCGTACACCAAATCATCACATGAAATTGGAACCTATCATGTAAAACTACATTATAAAATGACCAAGAGAAGTCTAATTGTGTATGATAACAAGTTTTGATAGGAAAGAACACTTTTAACCATGGAACCCTGGGCTCCTGATCCTAATTTTACCCTAATCGTAGAGAGGGCGTTTCATCGTGAAAAAAAAAAGTTAAAACCCTCAACAAATCAACACTTAATGTCATCAAAATGTGTGAAAGAAAGGGTGCAGTCAGACATGTTGGTATCCCATAATAGCGTGCAGACAGAAGCTAGTGTTCTGATAGACCGAAAATTACTGCCTTTTTCTGCCTGAAAATTCAGAGCTCTTTCCTTTCATCGGTAAACCCGTGTCATGGATTATTTTAGCTGAAGTGCGTCTCCAGTGCACTGGTGCTACTAAAGGTATTGGGTGAGAAAAAAATCTTCTCAATGGATAAAACAGGCTAGGGTAGACATCCAGCTTGCTCTTCTTAAAAAAGCATCTCATCTTTGATTAGGGTTAATTTAGAGCTCGCATCTTTTCAACAAGCATCTTATCTTTATGTGACAGGGGTTAATTTCAAGCTACCCATTCTTCAACAAGCATCTTATCTTCATGACATGTTTCAATTTCGAGTTGCTTTTCTTTTACAAGAATATTATTATCTTTATAATAGGGTAAATTTCAAGCTAGCCTTTCTTCAACAAGCATCTTATCTTTATGATTCTGACAAACAGCTGAACAGCTGACATTTTAGAAAGAGGACACCAATAAAGAAACGAAGCTGGATCTATTCCTGCAATTAAGTCATGAAAAGATAGCCAAATCAGGCAATATGATGTTTATCATCAATAATCAAAGGGTTTCCACTTGAGTCCCCGGCTCCTTTGGTTTCATCACGGGAAGCATTCTTGCCCTTTTCACTCAGTTCTAGCTCCTCTAGCTGAATATCCACAGAAGGTTCTGGAGTTTTCTGGCTTTCCGATGGTCTCTTTGCTGTGTTTCTGCAATAGTAGAATATGAGATGAAGCCACATAAAGTTTTAACTTCTCCAGTTAAATTTACTCTACTGTGGTTAATTGTGTTAGGTGTGAGAGAATGAGATTATTTTGTTTGTCCATCTAAGGACTATTCGTGTGTGAGTGTGTGTGTGTGTGTGTGAGAGAGAGAGAGGGGGGAAGGAGGGAGAGACAGACAGAGAGAGAGAGGGGGGGAGAGAGAGAGAGAGAGCAAGAGAGAGAGTGTTGACGAGTGCATGTGCGTATTTACCAAGCCTTAGCAAATTTCTCTTTATGGGGATCAACAAATTGTTATCTTATCACAGGGGCGAGAAAATATATTGAAGGAGCCTTCTGTCCTACATTCCTTCTCACCTGTAGTCGCAGTAGCGGAGCCAGATCCTGCTCATGAGTTCTGACATGGCTACATCGTTCGTATTGTAGGCTAAGATACGCAGAAGGAAGACACCGTCGTTGCCAAGGTAATCAACCACAAATTTCGGCACTGTGCGACTTCCTTCCTGTGGAAAATATAAACAGTAGACTTGGTTTAACACAAAGTTGTTTGGTATGAAATTTCAGTTACCACAAAAAGATTTCAAATTCACATGGGTTCCCCCCCCCCCTCTCCTCTGTATTCAATGCATCGCAACTTCTATTAACATTTTAAAGAACTCCACTCACTCAATCTCCTTTTTAAGTTAAGTAAGATCGAGCACCTAGTCTTCTCGGATCTGAATGAAAAATCTCGGAGGTCCCGTTTGCACATTGTGCATGTTAAAGATCTTTTAGAGTCTAAAATTCTTAGAAGAGTTGAGCATTAGGCTGCCACTCTGGCAAAATTTAAAAAATTCCCAACCATATTATATATCCCTATCTACCTATAAATATAAAGACACACCCTTACACTTTAATCACAAAGCATTAAGTAGGTCTCTCCTTTGAAGAATATCAAGGAAGTTATGATCTGAAAGGAAGGAAGCAGTCCTTTAGCAATCTCCATCCTATGTGTCTACCACTCAGGCAAAACTGTGTCATATTTACTGCTTTAGTCATCATCAATATTGATAGACAGCCGAAAAACATGAAATCTGCTTATCACAAAGAAACAGTTTTCTGTTTCCCTGAAGTTCAAGCTATCAGGATTTTATTGTAGTTTTAAAATTGCAAAACTTAAAGTTGAGTTTAATTTCTAAAAATAAATTAAATGACTTTGGACATAAGTATTTCTCTTTATACGAGTGCTACTGTTGTATCATATTCTACCACATAATTACAAAATTGTGACTCTTGAAGCTGAAGTCAAACTGCTAATTTTTAAAACATTTTTTTCCTTAAATTAAACACATACACATTTAATATGCTACGGACTATGTCATATTTAATTTCAGGCTTACTCGACCAGCAGAAGAAAGTCTTAAGTTGTAAACTAAAAAGTGAAGAATTGGGTTGTTGGCAGGTGCTCTTGTGCAGTTTGTTCTTTTTTTTCCTATTAACCCTATCCTCGTGTTTTACTATCGTGTCCATACGACGTGGGGAACTCTGTGCCACCACTTTCCAAAGCGGAAATTTACTCGTTAATCCGATCCGTACGCTTTGCATAGCAGTCTGTTCAAATGATTTTTTGAGAAATACTGAAAGTTTCAAAGAGATCTTCACACTAGAAGTATTCTAAAATGTGAAGAATACAGCCCCTGGGGTACAAAATGACCCAGGCGTACGGATAGGGCTAAATGTCTATTGTCCTAATCTCTCCTTGGACTTTTTGTAAGGTACTCTCTAGTAACACTTCTAATCTTCGGCACATATGTAACCTATTTGGGTTACAAGTGCCGAAAACTCTTACTAAAACTAAAACTTACCAAAGTGGAGTAGGAATTTTTCTTAGCCTTAAAAGAAAACTCTCCCTCAGTCTTAAGTCCTGTCAGGGAAGTACAAGCTCCACCATAGTCAAGACATAACCTATTTAGTATGACCTTTACGAATATCTTATGAGAGGTTGGCAGGTGCTCTGGAATGGTAGGCACCTTCTTTCGTATCAAACATCTATCATTTTTACCTCTCCTCTCATTTTACTATGTAAACTGCTTTCTAGAAACACTTCTAATCTTGGGCACTTACAAGTTACAAGAAGTATTTGTATTACAATAGCCCTAAAACTCTAACTAAAACTAAATTAAGCACACATCTGTTCAGGAATGAGGGGGATTGTAAGTCTTTGTCACTGTCTGTTTGCCGTAACGGGAACAATTTTGTTAAAAGCCAACTGAGAATCGTTGGTACGAACCTGATATTTAAAAATATCTTAATAATTGAATAAACGATAGGCAATAAGAAACTCAAGTTTGGGAAAACATGAATAGAAGACCAAATTGACAATGCTGGATTTAATCATGATAAGCAATAAAATAGAGAAAAAAAAGCTCTTAAAAGACTACTAGATAAGAAATAAGAATGTTTCCATAACAAACGAATAGACCCCCACCCCTACCCGCACCCAACCCCACCCCTACCCCACCCAGACCCTACCCATACCCCCAGCTGGATAAGAAATAAGAATATCATGTCCATAAACTGAACCCCAGCTGAGGGCCATCCCTACCCCTAAAAAAAACAACAACTCCAAACCTGGGGTACATTTCCATCCTCACTGAACACAGACAGATACTTGGTGACAAACTTGACGGATTGTTCTGTACGCAGAATCCTCATGAGCCACGCTGGGGGGTGGGGGGGAAGAAAAGAAACATTGATGAATTAATACAACACACAAAATTTATTAGGTTACGTTTTGTTGACAACTTTTCTGACTTTGAAAGAGTCTTTTTAACACACTGCAGAAAAAAACATGTGCTGTACTATACAGGTTTAATTCCCCTCGCAACATTTTAAGGTGACTTAAAATTTTAGAGATGGGACCTTCGAATTTAACAAGACTGAACCAAATGGGAAAATCCTTGTGCTTGAATGGCTGTCCCAAGGACACAACTCTGAAGCCAGCTGCTGGCCCACAATCTCATGATTGCAAGCCCAGTAGCCTATCGCCCAGTAGCCTATCCAATACACTAACAACACTACTGCACCCTGCTGAAGATTTCCGATCCAAACATTAATTACATCATCAGTGCAATTACACAACACCACAAAATTATTCTTTAACTAGCTGTGATGATCATTCTGACTAGGAAAGCATTTGGGACACAGCACTCAATACTACTACGTGTACAGGCCATAGTTTTTTTAGTATTAGTAAGAGTTTTACGGCACTTGCAACACAATATGGTCATATAAGGGACGAAGATAGAGGTGTTACAAGAGAGTAACAAACACAAAAAAGGAGCGGAGATAAAAACCATAGATGTTTCTTAGGAAAGAAGAAGCAAACCACACCAGAGCTCCCGCCAACCACTCACAAGCCATAGTTTGCCCAAGTCTGTTGTACTAGGTTATCACACAGACACATACTGACAAAGCTAAGCTGTATACAAAGTGATCAGCAACAATGCCAGCAGCAACAACCACTCGATGAGGAAAAAAGTTTCTCCACCGCCCGGCATGTTAATGGTCAACAGACACAACTAAGGGCGCTCTCGTGGCCTAGAGGTTAAGGTGTTGGCCTCTCATTCAAAGGTCCCGGGTTCGAATCCGGGTAGCGACCGAAAAATTTTCTTCTCTAAAATTGTCTCCTTTCACCTCCTTTCCTGCTCTCTAGCAATGTTCTGTTGTCTGCTTTCATTTCCACTTTCTGCCCCACCCCCTCACCTCCTTTGCCCCCTCCTCTGGGCTCCTGACTCTTTCTGCAGCCTCGGCGGGCCCTTGTGCAAGTTGTGCACGTTAAAGATCCCTTGGTGGTCTAAAATCGATAAGAGTAGGCTTCGGCCGCCACCCGGGCAAAATTCAAAATATCCTAAAAACTGAAAATATTAGGAGTGTCCCGCGCGCTCATATGACCTATGCAGTTGCGAGCGCCATAAAACACTTTACAAAAACAAAACAAAACGAAAGACACAACTAACACTACTGGGTTGGACAAGATAACTTCTGGACGATAATAATAAAGTGTTTTTATCCGAATTCAGTGAAAATAATGGATATAACAGGTTGGGAAAAGGAAAAGAAGCAGAAATTAAAATGGAGGAAATGCAGGGAGGGGAAATAAAAGTTTTAAAAAGTAATAGAACACCCCCCCCAAAAAAATAAAAAAAAACCAAACAAACAACAAACAAACAACAAAAAAAACACATACAAAACGGTAAAAAAATAGGTATATAAGAAAAGAAAAAAGGAAACCCCCCCGAAAAACGGCATCCCTGGAGCATTCGACACTACAGACACTCACTGACAAAGCTGTACAAGGTGATGAGAAGCAGAGACAGGAGCCAGAACCACTCGATGAGGAACAGTTTCTCCAGCAGCATGTTGATTGTCAGCAGACACTGGATCCACTGGCCCTCGCCCCGCACCTGGAAGTGGCACAGCGCCACGCGCGGGAAGTGACCTGAGTCTATTTTGGTCCCTGAGTCTTGGTAGTACTGAATTTACAGTCAATAAATGTTAATAATAATAACAGTAATAATAGTAAAAATAATATTAATAATAATAATGGAGGAGGCGGAGGAGGAGAACAACAACAACAATAAAAATAATAGTGATGACAATAATAATATTAATAATAACAATAATAATAATAATCAACAATTTTATAAATTCTTACAATCGAATTCATCAAAATCCAAGTCCATCGTGCTCTTAGGAAAAGTGAATGTTACTTTCCTTAAAATTTTTAGGTCTGAAGAGGGTATGGCTCCTTCGAAAAAGAGATGAGAGAGAGAGAGAGAGAGAGAGAGAGAGAGAGAGAGAGAGAGAGAGAGAGAGAGAGAGAGAGAGAGAGAGAGAGAGAGATGGAGAGAGGGAGGGAGAGAGGGAGAGAGAGAGAGAGAGAGAGAGAGAGAGAGAGAGAGAGAGAGAGAGAGAGAGAGAGAGAGACAGACAGACAGACAGACAGAGAGAGAGACAGACAGACAGACAGACAGACAGACAGACAGACAGACAGACAGACAGACAGACAGACAGACAGACAGACAGAGAGACAGACAGACAGACAGACAGACAGACAGACAGACAGACAGACAGACAGACAGACAGACAGGCAGACACACAGACACACAGACAGACAGACAGACACATACACACACAGACAGACACACAGACAGATAGACAGTTAGTATCCTCACCTGCACAGCCTTGGGTCCATACTCCCAGTAGTTGAAGTCTAGAAAGGCGGTGAGAATGACAAACTGCATGAGGACGTTGAAGAGGAAGCAAAACTTGACCACCAGGTACATGGAAGACAAGTAGTTGCCAGTGTTGGCGCCCACACACAGCATGCAGTGCTGCAGGATCTACAGACACATAAATAATTATAATAATAATAATAACAATAATAATAATAATTAAATAATAATAATACATAATAATAATAAATAATAATAAGGATAATAATAAATAATAATAATAATGATAATAATAAATAATAATAATAATAATAATAATAATAAGTAATAATAATAATAATTATTATTATTATAATAATAATAATAAAAGTGTGTCCATCATGTTCTGACGATGTCCCAAGCATTTGCAGGGAGAATATTTCTTAAGCAAAGTACAGTTAAGCCCTGTATACCGCCTACCTTGTGACGAGCATGAAATTGGCGGTATAAAGGGATATACAAGTACCGATTGTCATCTTGAACAGTGGTGGAGACTAGGAACAAATTGTGGCAAGTCTTTACTCATCTAGATTATAGATCTGTCTTACGCGATTGCTAAGTGCAGAGTACAAAGGAGTAGCAACAAACGGTTCGTAAATTCAAATTTCAAATTTCTACCAGTTCAGAAGCAAAGATATTATGCATCAATGACCCTGCAGATTTACATTTTATTATCAAATCAGAGACTTGTTATTCCTCGGATCGCTTCAGACCTTCCAAGCAGTATTGTGAGTCTTGATGATATAAAATCCTCGCGGGCGCTCGCCAACACTGGCAACTAGCTGTCTATCATGTCATCAGCCTGATATTTGGCGATGCCAGATAATATGCCGACAGGCCGAGGTGGTGCACTTCCTTTAAGGTTTCTTTAACCCATTTTAAAATCTAATTCCAATTTCTAAATAAAATATTGACAGAAGCCTTAAGCTAATAGAATTTTCATAATCAGCACAAATCTGGAGCAAATTGTTAACAAATAAAATGTGGGAAATAGGTCAAATTCACAAAGACGAGTGGGAAAGAGATCATCAAGCAGTCACCAAGTGAGTGCTGGGTGCCATGTGTACCTCTTGTGGCCACTTCGCTGGTTGTACAGCGGGGCAAATTTACATTAGTTTAATAAGGACTGTATACAACTCAGACATTTGGTGGATGGCAGAATGCGGTGTAAAGGGACAAATACTTTGTTTTGCCGACAGGCCAAGGTGGTGCACTTCCTTTGAAGTTTCTCTAAGCGATTTTAAAATTACATGTAATTCTAATTTTTAAACAAAATATTGACAGAAGCCTTAAACTAATAGAATTTTCATAATCAGCGCAAATTTACATTAGTTTAATAAAGACTGTATACAACTCAGACATTTGGTGGATGTCAGAAGACGGTGTAAAGGAGCAAATGATGCTTTGTTTATATAGGTTTTCCTTTTCATACATGGGCAAAACCTGGCAGTTGATTAAGCAGGGCTGGCTGGTGGCACAAGGGAGGTATGAGGTATAACTGTAGTAAAATTAAGGATTAAGACAACTTATGGTTTCTGCCATAAAAATGGGAACAGGGAAAGATCAGGGAAACGTAGCTGTTTTTGAGAGCATCCAAGCAAAGGAATGAACGGAGAACCATGATTGCCGATGTCTGTCGCAGATCTGGCACTGGATGATGATGATGATCGTTTCTGCTATGGCCAATGAGACAAATTTTGGCAGAGAAGAATTTCCTACAATTTTAGCTTTTAAATCTTCATTTCCATGGATGTGTGCAGCTTGCAGGTTTTGCTCTTGGCTTGAATTTAAGTTGGAATTCAGGAGGAAAAAAAACTCCGCCAAATTCGTAATTGAAGCTGATCTCCGAATGCAGTAACGTACAACTACAATTAAAAAGTCATCGTTAAAAAAACTAACCATTTCTCTCCTCCTTCTATTTTGTGTTTGTTACTGTCTATTAACACCTCTGATCTTCAGCACTAAAATGACCTTATCGTGTTGCAAGTGCCATAAAACTCGTACTGAACTTTTAAAAAAACCAACTAACCTTTTTGGTCTGCATTCCAACGCGACTCTTCATGAACCAAAACGGCTTGCGGTTGATGACGAGCCATCGCTCCATGAACTCAGCCACAGAGGAGAACACCGACGCCTTGCGATCCTTCCCCTCGAAACTGCTATCCCCAATCAGGGTGACCATCTTCTCGATCTGCGTGCCCGAATACTCGTTGCATTCTGTCCACACTAGGTTGGGCAGTTTGAAGAGGAAAGCCTGAAGAAACATCCCACAATCAAAAATTTTCTTTGAGTGTTAGGAAAAAGGCTGAAACATGAGACAATTATAATGTCCCATTCTTTAAATAAGTTTTAATAAAAGTTTTAACGGCCGTAGCAACACAAATAGGCCATAACAGTGCCAACGATTAGAGTTGTCACAAAAGAGTAACATACCAGAAAAGAAGGAAGAGAGATAAGAACAACAGGTGTTCAACAGGAAAGAAAGCAAACCACACTAGTGCACCCATCAACCACCCACACAGACAGACAAAATATGATGGTCCTTCAGTGAAGAGAAAAAGAAAGGCAAACAAAGAAGATCAATCACAGGTAAGTATGTGTATATCATTGAATAAAACATTCGGGACTAGTCGAGATGTGATGTCCTGGCCCAGGGGGCGGCCATTTTGGCAAAATTTGTCAAGGAATCTTCAGATTCGGCGCTGTTTTCGCCGGTTCTGGCCCCAAGAGTAGGATAGGGGGGTTTCGGGGGGGGGGGGGGGGGGGAGTGGTTCAAGGGGGCAGGAATTTTATCATACTTTGATGTTTTGCAGATAGGTTTGATATCTCTCGCTCGCCGAGCATCAAACATAGCCTATAATAGATGTAGATCAAGGCTCAAATAATCGGGGTGGGAACTGCCGAAACTGCGCCCAATCTGGAGATTCCCTAACTAATTTTGCCAAAATGGCCGCCCCCTGAGCCGGGACATTACTACTCGACTAGTGCCAAACATTCAAACAATTACCTGAAATATAAAAACAATGGTGATCCATCGGTAGAAGTTGATCTCCCCCAGATCCTCATTGTTCTGCAAGGCTGTTAAGTTGCTTGGGCCACCGTGAGGGGCCAGTTGATATGGAACCTGTTGGCACAACAATGATGAAAGAAAGCATTTTTAGAAAGCTTTGTCCACAAAGACAATGGTATAGCACAAGGTAAACATGCTCCAACGGCCACCTACATGAGGCAATCATCAGTACAAACGGCCACCTACATAAGACAATCATCTGTACAAACGGCCACCTACATGAGACAATCATCTGTACAAACGGCCACATACATAAGACAATCATCTGTACAAACGGCCACGTACATAAGACAACCATTTGTACAAACGGCCACTACCCCTTTTCCTCCCTTGCATATATTTTACATTATGACGACACCAGGTACGTGTCCACCTATCCACTTTTCTCCTCTACAAAGAGTTGCTGCCTGAAACAATTTTTTCAACTGCAAATTGAAAGACGAATTGGCCCAATCAAATTTTATTTGTGATCATATATATATATATATATATATATATATATATGTGTTTCATATATATATATATATATATATATATATATATATATATATATATAAAAGGTACACAACTGATACAAAATTGAGAATGTTTTACGGCCAAATTGACACACTGTTTCGACCCTGCTGTTAAAGGCCAAATAGGTCTAGTACCCTAGAAAAGGGATGGAGATACTCAGAAGAAAAAAAAAACAATTAAAATTTTTAATAATATTAGGAATAATAATAAAAATAATGATAATGATAATAAAACCATCCCCACTTGGGAACTGAACTCACACCTTCTGAGTGAAGTAGTGACACAAGAGACACTGGCAGGGTGATACAATGCACTTAATCAAGTTCTTAATCTCTAACAAAAGGGAAAGATAGAGAGTAGATGGCAGGGTTTTGCTCTTGAGAGTGTTCACCTGGGTCCTCTCAGCGATAACTTCATAGCACAGAATTCTATTAAGTGTAGAATTCTGTGCTTAGTAGTCAGTTCTAGAACGAAATGACCTATCGAGGTTTTTATAGCTAATTATTGGTGAAGAACAAGGAAAGCAAAATAATACTTGAAAGCAAAAATAATACTTAACTAATTAGAACTAGTATGATACACGTTATGTTAGTGCAAAGTAACAGTTTGGGGAGGGGGGTGGGTAGTTTTTTTCAAATGACAGTTAAACAAGTACACCAAGCAAATCATTAGGTAATAGTTGTTTTTGTATCATGATGACACTGAATTTTATTATTTAAATTTGTTGAAAAATCAAAACTGCCAAATGAACCACACAGCACTACCACTTCGCTAAGTAAAATCTGCTCATAACAAATTTCTAAAACGTTTATTTTAAATAAATATAAACTTTGGTATCTGCATTCCTATATTGCTAGCAATGCACACTTGGGCCAAATAGGTTACCAACGAGTGTGAAGATTGCTCATAACGTCATGAAACAAAAGCTAACAAGCTCTTTTATCTCAAGAAACAAAAGCTAACAAGCTCTTTTATCTCAAGAAACAAAGGCTAACAAGCTATTTTTCCTCATGAAAGAGAAGCTAACAAGCTATTTTTCCTCATAAAAGAAAAGCTAACAAGGTATTTTACTTGCCTCGTGAAAGTAAAGCTTGCATGCTATTTTTCCTCATGAAACAAATTGCGAAGAGCTGTTTTCTTCTCATGAAAAATGTTCCCAAATCATGATACAAAACAAGTTTTCTCTCATTACTCTCACCAAACACCATCAAATTTCGTTAATCAAATAGTGTTATCGCAAAGCAAACCTAAAATCAGCATGATACGGAATTTTTTAAAATATACAACTAAAGATGCCTTTCAGAACCATATATTATACATAACATCCCTTTTTTTAAATAAAGGAAAACTAAATGCCTACTCTACATATAAAAAAGCAAAAGAACCTCTAAATTCCCTTTGCAGTGCTTTGTTATGGTGGAACACGACAACAGAAGACCAACAGCAAACACATGCAATATATATAGACAATTCAGAAGTGCTACAGATATATTTAAAAAATACGCTGAGATTTTTTTTTAACAAAGACAAAAAAGTGAAAGGGAGAGGGAAATCCATGCCAGCTACGTAGTATTTTTCACAAAACATTATGAAGTCATAGCAGAAGAGCAAAAAAGCAACGCTCAAAACCCTAGAAGTGGTAAGCGAGCAAAAGGCGCGGGCAGGGGGAGGGGGCGCAGAGATGAGGAGGGCGGGAAAGATTGGGG